GAAACATATTTTTTAAATTGTTTATAACCAAATTGTTTAACGTCAAGCGCGCGCGATAAGAATCTGTATTCTTTGTTTCAACAAATTGTTTTTCCGTTCATAATTTCCTATAATCATATCTAAATGCATTCGCATTGCTATAAATTTGGTAGTATATAAATGTTTTATAATTTGACGCTACCTATTCTCGTCACGAACCGAAGAATTGGTTTACAACAGAATTTTATATTATGGAAATCAAGTACATCATGACTACTATACATTGATACTATAAAGGAATATATGACATCTATGTTTTATTTGTATTATATGAGATGAAATTCTTCATATTAAAATAATATAAGAAAAATTTTTGTATATGCTGAGGAGGGCTAAAGTTCAAAATGTATGTGCGTTATATAAGTGTAGTGAAGTAGAATAAATTAATCGTTCATCATCTTGTATGCTCGTTTTTAAACTCTATTGATCTTGTATTTATTTTGCTATTGCTATGCAATCTCACGAATGTATTAAAATTTAACAGTTTATTTTGTTTACAAATCTTTTATTAAATCGAATATGTGCCGTTTTGATCGACATTTGGCTCTTTTTCGAGCCATTACTTCATTGGTGTAGAACTTTTGTGATTTCTCGATAAAAAACCGAAATAAATGATTTTGAAGTCAAGTTTACTCCATTAAGGAAGTTCTGCAAAGACCGAAACAAATGGTAATTGGACGGTGCAAGGTCAAAACTATACGATGAATGCATCAAAATTTCCATCCAAGCTCTCTCAATTTTTGTCGAGTCATCAAAGACGTGTATGCCCTAGCATTGTTGCATGATGGAAAGCAACGCCATTTTTATTGATCAATTCTGGCCGCTTTTCGAATAGATTGTTCCAATCATATTAATTGTTAACAATAGAGATCAGAATCAATCGTTTTGCTTAGCGGCAGCAGTTCATAATGAACAATTTCTTTCCCACCAATCACATAGCATCAGCTTTCTTTGGCATCAATCTAGGCTTTGCGATGATTTGTGGTACCTCATCTCGTTTCGACTACGATCTCTTTCGAACATTATTATCATATGTTATCCATTTTTCATCGGCTATTATCAATCTTTTCAGAAAAAGCTTAATTTCGTTTCATTTTAGTAGCGATTCGCAAATGAAAATTCGATCCATTAAATTTTTTTTATCGTCAAATTATATAATATAATATAATTTTTTTTACCGTCAAATTATATAATACTCAAACATCGAGCTTTTTTGTGTATTTTCTCAAAAACGGTTTTATAATCAAATGTTTAACTTCTTAATTATATATAATATATCATATCTGCTCACATGACGATTTTCTTCAATTTTTTGGAAGATTTCATCGACATTTTCATAATAGGATAACCAGAATGATATGCATTTTTGCAGGGGCACGTAAAAAATAAATCTCTATTTATCGGTTATATGTAAAAAGAATTTTTCTCTAACCCAATACAATAATGTTTTTATTAAGAGCAATTTACGGAACGTTATAAATAAAAAATAAAAAATAAAAAATTGTTGCTTTATCTTTAAATAATATTTCTTTTTTCATTTTTGTATTATAGTCATTAATGTTATGAAAAATAAATGTAAAATATATTATAGGATATAAATGTAAGATATATGTATAATATATTATGGGATATAAATGTAAGTATATATGTAAAATATATATTAAATTTTTCGCATGAATTAACAAACAAGTCTAAAGGTTTTTAATTTTTTTTTTAAATTGATCCTCAAAATATTAATCAAAGCCAAAAATTTTATTCGTATACCAATTACATATTTGGAGAAAATTTATCATATTATAATTAACAGTTTGAAGATAAAAGTATTTCCTGAAAAAATATATATTTAGCTTTTTAAATTTGTTTGTGAGAAATTTTTCATATTCATTAGATAGTAAAAAATACGAGACTTTACAAAATTACAAGGCATAAGTCATCTACTATCGTGCACTGTTTATTATTAGAATCCAAATAAATAGGAATAAAAAAATTTATCTCCATCGATCAATGAGTGCATGCTTGATAAGAATTCGTGGAAAGATTTATGAGGATCCCATATATGTTAGTTGATTTATATATATATATA